GAGAAGTTTGACCCAAAGAGCATCCTTTTCTTTTTGATATCTCCAATTAAGCTTAGCGATTGAAACTCTATTAACCAAGTTGGTTTGTCTAGTGCCTAGACCTCCTAGAAACTTAGGCTTGGTGACTGTCCCAACCTATAGCATGAATTTTCCTAGTTTCAGAGGTGGTGCCCCAAAGGAAGTCTCTACTAAGCTTATCAAGGGTGTTGCAAATGGATTTGGGCAGAGCATTGCATTGCATGACATAAGAGGGAATAACAGCATTAACTGGTTTGATGAGGGTTTCACGGCCTGGCTTGGACAGAAGCTTGCTCTTCCAATCTGCAGTTTGGATTGCATTTTATATATGAGGAATTGGAAAGAAGCTCGATTGGGTCTAGACAAATGGATAGGGCAGCCAAGATATTTCCCAATAGTATAGGACATTTATTAGATATTGATTATGCTACAAATAGAAGTGAGGTAATAAAATAATAAAAAAGAAGTATGCACCATATCTTAAATATCCATAGTAGCAGTTGGAGTGTATAAGGGCTTTGTTTGGTGTAGCTGTTAAAACAAATTATAGATTATAATTTTAATTAGAAACTGTTAATCTGTTTGATGTACCTGTTGAATTATATATTTAAGTTGTTGAGTAGTGCTTGTTAAATAAATTGTGAAGTAGCCTTTTCAATTAACTTTTATCTTTTGTTATTCACTACTTATCTACATTTCTCATAAAAAAAAATAATAATATTTTATAGTCTATTTGAGTCTTTTTCTATTTTTAAAAAAATAAAAAAATCCAAGAGTATAACCATAAATTAACATGTCCACAGCAGAAACTGATAATCAGAAGCAAGGGGTGAGCAGTTTCTCAGAATCATCTTTTTTGAGTTAAAATAAGTTGTTAGAATCAGAAGCTTTTTGAAATTGGAATGTTGTATCATGAGTGTTGAACACACTTGCGTGGAGTATAGCTTTAACTACCATGATCATGTTGTTGCTGAGTTTTATAATCTCATGTTAGTTGGGTCTGTTAATAGATATACAATATGCATGCATCTAGAGTTTTGTCTTGGTCATTGGTGGAGGATGATACGGTTGCGTTGAATTGTTGTGTATGTATTATACCATTGTTGATTGAACATTATATGTAATGAAATGCTGAATTACATTATATTTGTATACTGGTTTGGGAGAAGAGAGGGGTTGTACTCCAGTGTGTGTGAGAAGATAGGGGATGGACTCCACACACTTATGTGTTCAGCGCTTATAATCAAAGGTATCATACCCTTCCAGCTAGCGCCTGGAGAACTGACGCAGTAATTTAAATTATTAAATCATATTGAATATATTATTATATATACGAATAACATAAATTCTTACTTTTTTAATTTTCACTCATAAATTGTAAGGGCTATTATTACATTATATAAATTATTTGTTTTGGTAGTATTAATAATTTTCAATATAAAAAAATATAAATAGAGTCAAATTTTAATAATTTAATAATGTAATTGAAAAAAAAAATTGAAATTCATTTATAATTCAAGCAACTCGGACAATTCGGGTTTAATTCAAGTTGGGCTTGGGCAGACAATCTTAGATTACAATTCAGGTCTGGGCAGGTCTCAGCATAACTTGGGCTGGACTTAGACAACCTCTCAATCCAACTGAACCTGTCCAAATTTCCCTTCTTGGTGTTTTTGCTTTTGATTTTTACTTTTAAATTTTAAATTTATAATAAATTATACTAGATAAGAAGGATGAAGAGAACGAGAAAAACTTGCAGATGAGATTACAATAATTCTTCGTCCACCGCAAGACGAAATTGCTTGAAAACCATACACGTCACGCCGCGTCATCAAGCTCAATCATCATCAAGTTTTAAATATTACAAATCTACCCCTATAAATTGAAAAAATTACAAAAAAATAAAAATATTAGAAAAAATTATATTTGTGTAGAATCTTATAAACAATAATTATATATATTTTTAATTACAGCTCTTAAAGCTGGAATAAAAAATGATTTAAATTATATTTTTGAATTAGAAACCTTCTTTTGACTATTACTTTTGGATAATCTATAATAAATTATAGTCGGAAAATCGGTAGTATTAAATAAAAAATATCCTTAGAAAAAGCAAGTATAGATTACCAACTGAAGTTTTTATAAGACTTAATAGTAAATTAAATCCGTATTTGAAAATGATATAAGAGTCTGGTTTCTCAGCTTGCCAATAACATTTGCATGAATATTAAATATAGTGAAGCAGTAGAATCTGATAACTTAAATAATAATACTTATTTACAAATAATAATAAAACAAAATAATACCTTACTTAAGTTATTAAAACAAATTAGCGAAAGTCTTAGAAATAATCAATTATAAATAATAAACGAAATTAGACATTTAATACAAGACCCAGAAAAACAAGTAGTTATTTTAGACGAAAAATAAAAATATTTAGATTCGTATCCTTACCCATATATAGTAAATAATCCAGAAAAATCGTTCGAATTAGTTTCATCTGAAAATCAAAAAAATAATGGAGTTAAGTAAATATAATCTAAAATAGTTAGAAGAAATTGCTGAAACAGAAAATGATAATGAAATGAAATATAAAATCATATTAGAAATAGCTGAACAACTAGATGAAATAGATGCAGAGATAATAGAAGAGATAAATAATAATATAATAGAACTAGAAGAAAATATATAAACAATTAGGAATAATCAGTTTGGAGAAATGAAACGCATTCCCCCTGAAGACTTAGAACAAGTAATGGGAAGTAATGACGCAGAAAAAGAAAAAGAAAATAATATCCTAGAATACTCCGAAGAAACTAATAATTTTAATGTTGCTGAAATGGCTGTGATAAAACAAGAATGAAGTAGTTCATCTGCTTCAACTAATCCAAATCATCTAGATTTTAGGAACTTCACCAAACAACAACTAAAAGATGGTGCTATAAATTATGATTACAGAAAAAGAAAGGGATATTATAATTATCTAAATAGAGGATCATAGGATAGAGGAACACCTAATTATGCAAACTTTACCCGTAAAAAAAGAAGTATTTTTAAGAGAAGTATTACTAAAACCAATAAGTAATACAAGATGTTTATTTAATTATTTTCTGTGAAATGGAACTGCATTAAAAGTTAAGTGGGGTAATATAGAAGGTTGTATGGCAAATCCCTCTAGCATCATTAAACAGATGCGTTACAATACATTGAGGACAAGTAGTGTAAATTTGTAATCCATCTGCAGATTGAGAACCAAAATTTGCTGGAGCATCTGCACATCCATTAGCTTCACGATATATATGATCAATTGCTACTATCCTCAGTTGACTCAGCAAGAACCTGCAATCATTAATGAGGTTACTTAGGTGATGATTGTTGTTTCCTCTGCCCATAATCAGTTGCTGAGCTAACAGAGATCTGTTTCAACAATAACATTTGAAAGACCCACTCAAATACAAAGTACAAATGATGCAAACACGATAATAAACAACAACCAACATCCACGGACACATGTCCGGATCACTGTACAACAAGGGTAAACCCGGGATCGCTATATTTTCTGTACAATGTGTGCCTCACTTTGGTGAAGCTTGCACCTCGCCTTGCGCCTTGAGCCTAAGCCCCAGGAGACCTTGGTGCTTTGGTGCGCTTATCGCCTTTAATAACACTGATTTTAACTATTTGTTCAAATTTCTCTTTTTTGTTGAAACTATCCGTTAAAATTTTTTTATCTGTTAAACTCAAATTTGATGGCCATTTTTCCTATTTGTTGAAAATTCACAAACTTGAAATATTTTATCTTTTGAATTTTTATTATCTATTTTTTTTATCTGTTCAAATTCACAAGCTTATTTCCACGAACTGTTGAAATCTTTTTTCATCAATTCAAAACATTTTATGAAATAGAGTTAAACTCTGAATTTTGAACAGATCTAACAAGAACACAATCAATGGTTTGGGAAACGGTTGAAAAAACGTGCGCCAAAACGGTGGAACAAAAAAAACTTGTAGATCAGGTCAGATCTTGTTGAACAAACATGCAGATCTAACAACATAATCACAAAATTCTAAAAACATCGAGACATTCACCAAAACGAAAAAAAAAAACATAACAGATTATTTCAGAAATTTTTGAGATATTTTTTTGGTGCCCATCAAAGATATAGACACAGAAAGTGCCCTAATCGATCTTTAGTAGCGGCGATGGCAGGAAATTGAGCTTGTCTGCAGCGAAAAGATGTGGATTTGGTTATGGTTGAGTCGAGACGATTGTGACGACGATGACTTCACAGAGAATTTCGACAAACAAATCAGATCAAGTCAGATCTTGTTCTGACAAACACATCAGATCAGATCAATTCTGGTCAAAGCACCATGGTCGCGAGAGAGGCCGATTTTGCAAATGCAAAATATGTATTGGGGGTGTTTGATAGAGCTTATAAGCTGCTTATTTCAGCTTTTAGCTTAATTTAAGCTAAAAAGTAATGTTTGGTTCAACTTAACTTGACCAACTTATAACTTAAATACAGCTAATTTTCAACTCTTTTAAAAAGTTGGTCCTTAGGTGCTTAATATTTTAGCTTAAGCGCACAACTAGTGTTGATGGGGGGTGAAATGACTTAAATGCCCCCTCCCAAACTTCATTATTTATGCAAATGCCACTATATATACCATTTGATTGATCTCTCTTACCCTAACTCTCGCCACTTACACTCTTCTCTCCTATTCTCCTCTCCTCTGGCGATCGAGAAGAAGCTCTACCAAACACCCACGAAAACGACCTCTCTGATCGCAACAAATCGTGCTTGTAGAATAGTTGTCTACCTCTCCAAGAACAATCATCCCCCTGTTTTCCGTTCATCTGCACCAAAAAGGTATGAATTCATGACTGTGATACATGTATGGACATCGATTAGGGTTTTGTTTTTGGTTATGTGAAATGGTGTCTTCTCGCTCTCTCTCTCTCTCTCTCTCCATCTCTCTTTCTTCATCTCTTTTTCTTCATCTCTTTTTCTTTCCCTTCTCTCTCTGATTACGGTGAAATGTCCCTCTTCTTCATTCTGTGAATAGGGTTGAAAATGCCTGTCTCTCTTCTTCACTCTCTGATTAAGGTTGAAAACCCCCTTTTTATTGCGATCTATTATTTATTTATTTAATCATTAGATGTTTTTCAATTTTGAGTTCAAAAAAGTTATATTCATTTCATGAGCTTCGTTAATACTGGAGTAGGTGAAATTTGGGCTGCAATGTGAGTGCTTAATTGTGTTTGTGAAACTAAAAATCAGTGAACACAAAGTCATCAAAAGTAGATAGGAAAGCTAAATGAAAACTCCTAAGAAGTATGAGAATTCATCCAAGCCAATAACGTCTTTAATCTGCCCAAGACCTTGAGTCCATTTGTTTGATTAGTAGGATATGTCATAATTTCTATCAGAGTTGACAAAATTGTATTTGTTCAACTACATTTGTTGTTCTCTGGATTAAGCAAGGTACTTGTTTATTTTTTTGAAGGCCTATATTTCAGAAATTGGTTGTTTGGCTTTTCACCATGATTAGGTTGATTGAATCCATACTTTGGTACCTTAGATGAAATAATGTTATTTGATTCATTTTCAAGTTTGAGGAGATTTAGTGATTTGTCCATCTAGATCACAAGGCTTATAAACAGATCATGCTTATTTGTTATTAATAAAGGTTCAATTGCTGGGATATGTGGAATGGAGAAATTCAATGTGTTTAATCAACCTTATTTCTAGTAGTAGTAGTGGTAGTTGTGGAGAATAGGCCTTTAAAATTGAAGAACCAATTGAAGAACCAACCACGTGTCAAATTTGGTGGTGCTGGGAAGTTAAATTTGTGTTATAAATTATAATTTGGTTATTGAGACTTTTCTGGTGGTGTTTTTGTTACAATGCAAATTGGTGATAGTTTTACCTGGGAATGGTCATAGTTTTACCTGGATCATGTGAAGGATGTTTTGTGTAACTAATATTTTGTACCCGCAAGTGTAATCTAAAATATATGTTAATTCCCAATTTACAACCTAAACCAATGAAGTACTCATTCTGTAATTCCAATCTTTCTTTAGTAAATGAAGTTAGATATGCATTCAACTTCCTTTTCTAATTTAGATAAATGTGTAAAAATTTATTACTAATTTGAATCTTCAAGTGTTTTTCATATTGAAAGTGGTCCATCTAGAAAAGTGATACCAAAGAACATAATATGCGTGCACAAAGGAGACCAAATATAATGCCAAGCCAAATATGTATTTTCAACCTAAAAGTTCTAGCAGGATTCAAAATTAAGAATAAGAATGAAACCTCAAATATATTGTACTTGTCCTTTGAGAATAAGATTGTTATCTATGCATTCCACAGATTTTTCTGGTACAAAGAAAACTATTTAGCTAATAAAGTCACTAACACTACATAACACTTTTTTAATTTGATAAGTTGAGTAACAAGTAAAACTTATCTTAGTACATGGTATGCAAATATTTTGTGTAACAACAGATTTGATTATTGCAAGAAATTAACAAAGCATTGTCCCAACTATTTGGATCATGTGAAGGATGTTTTTTAATCTGATAGTTTTACCTGGGAATGGTGATAGTTTTACCTGGGAAGCATCAAATGTATGTGGAACTTGGGTTTAACATAGTATTTGATCCTCTAATTTATCCCTACACAACAAATCTTTGAAACTTTATATACTACAAACCAAACTCTTTGGTACCACTCTAAAAAAATAACAGAAACCTTACAATACCTAGGTAGTATTGACATAACCAGATTGTACCAAATACTTCAATAGGGATTAGTAAAAGAATCCCTGCCGATACAGAACAATTTCAATGGCTCACATTGTAATGCAAATTGAACATAGGAGGAACTTTCACTTTTTCTTGCTCTTACTTAATGAATCGGAACTTAGAAACATTTTATTCAATCAATACTTCGTGGGTGCAATGTATTTACAATTAGCTTCCTAATCTTTAGAGGATTTGGATTCAATTCTTCCTAATTAATGCAGAGGCATGTCATCCTCTAGTAACTATTATTCTAGTGATGAGAGCTTCGACTTGAGGTATGAGGCTTTGAAATGTGATTGTGAGCTAAGAGCTGCCATAAGGGTTACTGAGTCTGACAAGCCATCTAAAGTGAAATTGTATTTCATTTGTGAGAAGAGAAATTGTTAATTTTGGAGGTGTACCCCAAAATCTGTGACGATGGTAGAGAGGTTGAGGAACGAGAGAATGCATGATCAAAATCAAAATATGGAGACTGTAGGACTAAAAGTGAAGAACCAAATGCTTGAGCAATCCAATGTTTTCATGAAGCAGCTTATTGTGGGTCTGCTCACGATTTGTATTCTTATGTCAGTTGCATTACTCTTCAAATGATGACAGGTGCCATTTAGAGATACCTGGTGTTTTTGTGCTAATGTAGTTTACCATGAACTATTGCACTAAGCTTTGTACCCAATGAATGTTGACATAGTTGCCATGTATGGTTATTTTGTACTGATCTAGCTATTGTAATGCAAGCACTGATGAATGAGTTTGTTTTAATTTTTTTTCTTTCTCATAGAATGAGTACCCAAGAGGAAACACAACCTAAAAATAGGAAGAACAAGGGAAAATCAAGTCAAGTACCATTCGTTAAAGCTCACTAGGATGCAAAATCAAAAGAAATTTTTTTTAAGCTTTGTGTTGAGCAAGTGAAGGTTGGACACAGACCTGGTACACACTTAGATAGGGTCGGGTGGGAAAATATGATAACTAAATTTAAAAGTATGACTGGAAAATCGTACCAACGAATACAAATGAAAAATCATTGGGATGTGTTGAAAAAAGATTGGCTTTTATGGAATAATTTGTTAAGGGGTGAGACAGACTTAGGTCGTGATACATTGACTGGAGCGATGTCTGCATCTGATGAGTGGTGGAGCAAGAAATTGGAGGTAAGTGAATTGCTTAATGTACATTTCTGTTTTTTTTTTGTTTAAACAGACCAAATTTTGTTACTTGAAATTGTTAAATTTTCATTTGTAATTGTTGTAGAGGTATCTTGATGCTGCTAAATTCGAGGGTATGCCGTTGCAATTCACTGAAGACTTAGACATACTATTCTCAGATACAACTGCTACAGGAGAATGGACATACACTCTTAGCTCAGGGGTTATGCCCCACACCGATGAGACTGTGGAGGAATTTCATACCCCACATGATGCTGAATTTCATGATGATGCTGGTTTGGAGGTGGATCATCCTTTCGAGTTAAACAAAAAACGTCCATCAAACACTAATGGTTCATCAACCAAGAGCAAGACAAAAAAGAAATTTATTGGTGCAACTCTACTTAACAAGACACTTGATCGTATAGTCAACGTGGTTAAGTCATCTTCAGCAATTTCAACACAAACCTCATTAAGATATTCTTTAATTGCAGAATGTTTGGCAAAGTTGGAAAGCATCCTTGGTGTGTCCTCGGATGATAAGCTGTATGTATGGGCTGCCCGATTGTTCTTACGAGACAAGCGTCGTGAGTGTTTCATGACTCTTCCTACGGATGAAGTTCGACTGAGATTTCTAAAGTTGGAGATTAAGATGGAGAAGACCACCATAGGTTATCGCGGCTAATTGTGGACTACCCGGTTGTTCTTAAGACTTTTATTATTAATTATGGACTGTTGTGTTGGACTTTTATTTTGCTAATTGTGGACTGTTCTGAATTTCCTATTTTTTTCTTTTATTAATATTGACTATGTTGGACTTTTATGTTGGACTCATTATTTGGACTTTTATTAATATTTTGTTAGACTTTGATTATGTTAGACTTTGTTAGTTAAATGGTTGAATGGTTGGTGGGTAGGTGGCATTTTCTCAGTTGAATGGTAGGTGAATGGTTGACTTGTTGAATGTTAGTTGAATGGTTGAATGGTTGATTTAAATCTTGAACATGAATGGTAGGTGAATAGTGAAGACTTATATATATATATATATATGTATGTATATGTTGGTGAATGGTGAAGACTATTGCTGTGCTGAATTCCTATCTGGTGCTGTGCCATATTTTCTTGGCATCTATTTTGCTGTATTTGCTGCTGTATTGCTGTGTTGTTTGAAGTTGAAGGCATAATTTTTTCCTTAACATTTGAATCTCTCCACGATTCTATCAAATACCTAATTTATGAGCACTGTTTAGACTCCTATCAATTTCAATTCAAGTAGAATTTCTTGATCAAAAATATAAAAAAAAATAATTCAAGTAGAATTTGAATCTTAATTTGTTCTCATCATTTGGGTCTCAAATTAAGAGATTCAAGCTTGCTTTAGATCAAGACTAGTGTTCAATTGTTCTCAACTGTGTGGAGGATGTAAAAAAAAAAAAAAAAGAAAAAAAGAAAAAAAAAGAAATGATTATTAATTTCTTCAACCCATAAACAAAAAGAGGGAAAAAGGGAATCTGCTTTCTTTTTGTTGGTCTGGTGAGGTGTTTGTTGCTAAGCCATTGCCATTTTTATTTTCTTCTTTGTTTTACTTTATGCTCTGAAAGGTTCACACTTTCTTGTCTTTGTGATTTACTTTTTCCTACATCAAAGAGTACACTTGATCCTAGGGGTTTTGAAAGCAGAAGCAAGTAGCTGGGTGCTGTGTAGATTTTATGCCTTTGGTACTTTGGATTTTCACTTTTCCTTAGTGTCTATTTGATGCCTGCAATGTTTAGCTCTGAAGAACTCTTGTACAAAAAAAAAAAAAAGGATAATGTAATCTCTCCATAACTTATACATATGTGCCAACTTATCACCCTCACTCAATTAATAGAACATAACACAATTAATGATCACCCCCATGTGACAACACAATTTATGGCAAACAGAAATGCTATGTAGTTAGAAAATTATTCAAAATTTGAATATATAATATGTAAGTTTTGTTATAATATGTAAATTTGGTACTGCCACGTATGGAAGATGGCCCCCTCTTGATCTCACCCTATTTTTGTTTGAATTGAATAGTAACTAGGCCTTTAAATGAGTAGGTATTTTGGAGATGAGTAAAAGTGATGAAGATGGGTGGAATGATTGTAACGCCCTCAAAATAATAACATTAAAACCCATCAATTTAAACATGCATTGGTATAAAAGATAAACATTCTTCTATTCACCAGAGTAGTTCCTTACAAAAGTATTACATGTTAACAACAAAAGCAAATGCCCTATGGGCTTACAGCTTTCCAAGTTGTCACTTGGTTACAAAAAGAAGAGTACTAACTCAATACATATTAAGCCCTTGGCTTGAATTTACATGTAATACATCAAAAGAAAGTAAACCAAACAATCTATCTGCTTCTAGCTTCCCAAGCTATGTCCTTGGAGGTGGCATGCTACCTGTACCTGAAAATGATGTCCCATAAAAGGTGAGCCACAGCCTAGTAGAAATACACTAAACCAGCCATGAACAATGACTAAAAGATTAGCAGTTGATAGATAGTCAACACAGATACATCCACTTATATCACCTTCGATTTCATGACATTAAGTCCATGTTACATTTTATTTCCCATGTCCTTTCAAATTTTGATTTTTGAAAACAAGGCTCAACACCTAGCCAACTAACTTAATGAGGTTTAGACTCATCTTTAAAACACTTTCAAAATTCATGAGGGATACACATTTTAATGCTGTATCAATAACACATAAACCATTCCCACACTTTGCGAGAGATACACATTTCGGTACTGTATCAACATAACATAGAATCACTTCTATACTTTACAATTGATAACGATATACATTTTAGTGCTATATCAAATCAATTCAAATACTTCCATAAGTCTCAAATAATACACATTGTAGTGCTGTATTAATGAAACAAAAATACTTCTAATTCGCAGCCTGATACACATTGTAGTGCTGTATCACTGTCACACAAAATCCGGTTTAGAGGTCCATCCCCTATCTTCCCCTAAACCGTGGAGTACATCCCCCATCTCCTCCCACACAACACATGTATATAAACATAGATCATATACAATCAATCAATACATAGAACTTATGTATTATTCCACTTGCTAAATTCAATAGCATACTCAATCGATTAGTTTTAATTTGCCTAATCATCATGCAGTGTCTACGATAATCAAGACTATCCTCCATCGATAGCCCAAAGCAATTATTTCTATACTGAAAATAAATGCACCAAATGGATATATAATCAACATTTCAACTAGGTGAGTGATAAACAAATCTAACTACACCCTTTAATCCCATACACCTCCAATTCCAACATTCTCAACTTAATTCCTCTTTTCTTCAAATTAATTATACCAATTAATTCATCAATGTAATTAGAACATTTCTCATAATTAACATCACAACCCTAAGGTTCCATTTCTTTACCAATAGACCAATATTGATCTCATTTCTCTATGCCAAACATGCATATACGTTTATATAAACAAAACCCCAACTTTTGTAAAATTACACAAAGGCCAAAACTTTCTCAAAATTACCCAACAACCCCAACTCATCAAAATACTAAAATTCAAAGACAAAACTCATGAGAATGAGTAGGATATCCCTACCTCGAAGTTAGAGCTCGAACAGGGAAGTTGAAGAAAATCCAAAATGCTCCAAACTCAAAGATTCACGGATCAAAATGGAGCCCTCGACGATCCACACACTTTTTACAAAGGCCGGAGGATAGAGAGACACTCTAACTAGATCAAACCCTAGAGAGAAAGGAGTTTTTAGAGAGAGGAGCTCTCAAAATAGCTTTTTAGAAAGTAAGAGAGAGAGAGTATGTAAAAAGTGATTTTAAAATGCCCAGATGCTAACTGATAAACGACATTCCCGCTCGAGCGGAGAACACAACGCTCGAGCGTTAAGAACAAAAAACTAGGTACGCTTGAGCGCAAGAAGGCCCGCTCGAGCACCAAGACACAAGAATAAAGTACATCCACTCAAGCGTGAAAACCAGTTCGCTCGAGCGTAGATTTCCCTCTCCCAGAACTTACATAAAAAAGTACTATCCGCTCGAGCGCCAGAGTACCCGCTCGAGCGTGACCGCTCGAGCGTAAAGAAACCCGTTCGAGCGTAAAAATCACACCTGCAGAAGTTTTGCAGGGACACAAAAAAAACTGGGAGTGTGCAATATCCGCTCGAGCGCAACAGGTCCCGCTCGAGCGGTGCGCTCAAGCGGAACGACCAAAAACCTGGCAACAAAATTTAGACCAAGGTTCAACCCACCTGTTCGAAACATGCCCAACACATCCTAAAACTCAAACAAATGGAATTAAAGGACGACAACAAGATAGATACAACTACCAACTCCACGGAACCGAGTCCGGAATACAACAGAACAGTAAAGGGACAACCGGGATCGCTATAACCGCCCCCCTTAAAGAATTTCGTCCCCGAAATTAAATACAAGTTTTTCAAAAAAAACAAGATTTTTTTTTTCTCAATAATATTACAACATAATATTAAACAATCCGACCCATTACCGGTCATCTCATCTCTTTTCAAGAGGCAGTTTACAACATTTTCCACAGCATGCATTATAGTTATGCATTCCTTGAAATTCCACAAATTTCAATACTACATTCCACAATTCTATATCATATTCAGTATTCATGATATATTTCCATTTCTATAATACATTCAACATATGCAATGTTACATTAAACTTCCATTGTGAGGCAAGTTTCAAAATACTTCCATTAAATCAAAACATAAACCATGTTTTACAACCTAAGATACATCCAATACTCTTAAGGTTCAACAACACAACAAAATATACAATACATGCTCAAACATCCATAAGTAGATCCGAATATCTCTCTCGGACCTCCAACTCACGTTCCTAAGTGGCTTCCTCCACTCCGTGATGTTTCCACAAGACTTTTACCAAGGGAATGGTCTTGCCTCACAAGACTTGATCCCTCCTATCCAAGACCTGAACCGGTCTCTCTTCATACGAGGCATCCTCATCAACCTCTAAGTCGGTCCAATCCAATACATGCGATGGATTTGGCTCATACTTCCGAAGCATACTTACATGAAACACATCATGCACTCCGGACAATTGCGGCGGCAAAGCTAAATGATAGGCAACCTCGCCCATCCTCTCAAGGATCTCAAAAGGACCGATAAACCGAGGGAACAACTTCCCACTCTTCCCAAACCTCATCAAACCTCGCCTAGGTGATATTTTCAAGAAGACATGATCACCTACCTCAAACGTCAAAGGCCTCCTCCTATGGTCGGCATAACTCTTTTGGCGACTCTGGGCTGTAACAAGCCTCCTACGGATAAGCTCAACTTTCTCCGTCGTCTCCCTAACCAACTCCGGACCCAACAAAGGTGCATCACCCACCTCACCCAAACACACTGGAGACCTACACGGCTCGCCATACAAGGCCTCAAACGAGTCCATAACGATGCTAGACCTGCATCAAACTTGCTGTTTGTCAGGGCAAACTCCACCAAGGGCAAGGTGCCTCTGCTCCGTCCACACTAAATAATACAAGGGAGTATCACCCATCGAAAGTATACTCTCAAGGATCTGAATAGATACGCCTCTGGACTGGCCCGTCAGTTTGGGATGAATAGCCTACGTACTAAGTCAACTTATGTGCCCATTGCACTCTGCAAACTCTGCCCAATCAACACCATAGCAGTAAGAACGAGGATCCTCTACTGAGACGATCGTCACTTGGGGGACCCCGTGCAATCCACTATGTCCCGAATATAGCAAGTCGGCGAAATGATCTACCGAATCTTCACGCGCATAGAATGAAGTGCGCCGACTTAGTCAACCGGTCTACAACCACCCAAATGGCATCACTACTGCGCTGAGTTCTCGAAAGACCTACAACGAAGTCCATAGTGACATGCTCCCACTTCCACTCGGCAATAGGCAAGGGTTGCAACAAACCCGCTGGCCTATGATGCTCGGCCTTCACTTGCTGGCAAGTAAGGCACTTCGATACGAAGACAGCCACATCTCTCTTCATATCCCACCACCAAAACTGGCGACCCAAATCTCGATACATCTTAGTGCCTCCCGGATGCATCGAAAGGCGTGAATGATGGAACTCTCGGAGTACTTCCTCTCGGCAAGACTCCGGCACAAACAAACGGTCTCGGTATCTCACACTCTGGTCGGGACACACCGTTAAACCTTTCTCAACTCTCCCACTGGAGATCTTCTTTCAGAAGGACTCTACCTCCAAGTCACCTCTCTGTGCCTCTAATACTCGGGTCATAAGTGTAGGCTGCGCAACAACAAAAAACAAGGCCGCAGCCTCAATAGATTCGCCCAAAAGCAAATCAAACTCCCCAAGTGCACCCAGCATCTCCCATTCCCGGATGGCTATACAAGCTACATCACTAATGGATTTCCTACTAAGGGCATCAGCCACAACATTGGCCTTCCCCGGGTGATAGTGCAACTCAAAATCATAGTCCTCAATGAACTCCATCCATCTCCTTTGCCTCAAATTCAAGTCCCTCTGTGTAAACAGATACTTCAGACTCTTGTGGTCCAAGAACACCTCGAATCTCTCACTATAAAGGTAGTGCCTCCAAATCTTCAAGGCGAAGATCACTGCTGCTAGCTCTAGGCCATGTGTAGGGTAATTCTTCTCATGTATTTTCAACTAACGTGAGCCATAAGTTACCACTTTCCCCTCTTGCATCAACACACAACCCAAACCCTCTCGTGAGGCGTCACAATAAACTGCATAACCCAACCCTCTCTCCGGAATAATCAAGACCGGAGCGGTGGTCAATCTAACTTTCAACTCTTGGAACGACTTTTCACAAGTCTCACTCCATACAAATTTGACTCCCTTCCGAGTCAGCCTAGTCAACGGCGAAGCTAACCAGGAGAAATCCTTCACAAATCGGCGGTAATACCCAGCTAATCCCAGAAAACTGCGGATCTCAAAAATGCTCTTAGGCTGTACCCAATCTTGCACTGCCTCTACCTTGGATGTATCAACAGACACCCCTTCCCCGGATACCACATGGCCTAAGAATTTGACCTCCCCTAGCCAGAACTCACACTTCCCAAACTTGGCATAAAGCCTATGGGCTCTAAGCAACTCAAGCACCACTCTCAAGTGTTCATCATGCTCCTCCTCTGAAGGTGAATAGATAAGAATGTCGTCCACGAAAACGACTACAAATCGATCCAAGAATTCCCGGAAGATCCGGTTGATCAAGTCCATAAAGATTCGGTTCATCAAGTTCATCAAGTCCATCAAGTCCAAGAATTCCCGGAAGATCCGGTTCATCAAGTCCATAATTATTTGATAAAAGAACCATGCAGGACATCTAGTTTAACATGAGGGAAGTGGATGGTAGAATTACAAGAAGGGAATCAGACAAGAATATTTGAAAATTTTCAAATGGAAAGAGAGGTATTTTATCAATTGTGTAATTTGCTGAAACTGGATGAAAAGTTTCGGTTCAAGAGCAGGTTGCAATATTTTTGTATATTGTTGGCGGTGACATTCGAAACAGAAATGTCCAAGAAAGATTTCAACATTCCGGCGAGACTATTTCAAAATACTTCAAGAAGGTGTTAAAAGCTGTTACAATGATGTCCATTGATTGGGTAAGGCCTCAACTGAGTAATGGTGTGCATCCATATATTCGACGCAACTGCAAATATTATCCTTATTTCAAGGTAAATAATTAACTACAAGTGCAACTTGGGCGTTACATATAATTAATGTTGGTAGGATATTTCTAATAATCTGTGACTAAAAATATTTTTATTCACTATTTTGTAATAGGATTGTATTGGAGCAATTGACGGAACACACATCAAAGCATATATATCTCCAGATAAGCAAGCTCATTTAATAGGTAGAAAGGGGTATGCGACTCAAAACATAATGGCCACATGTGACTTTGATATGTGTTTCAAATTTTGCTTACCAGGATGGGAAGGAAGTGCACATGATACACGGATCCTCTTAGATACAATTAGGAATCCTAGTTATAATTTTCCAAAACCACAAGGAGGTAACTGTTTTATATTTGATTGCTATAGTAGATGCACCACACTCACATCTTCATATTTATTTTTACATTTATAATTGCTTACTTTAATTTCATTTTGGAATTTTAAAATAGATGAGTTTTACTCGGTGGATGCTGGGTATCCAAACATGAAAGGATATCTTGTAGCTTACAAAGGAGAGAGATACCATCTAGCTCAATTTGAACATGGTCAACCCCCTCAAAATTCACAAGAAAAATTCAACCAAGCACATTCATCGCTTAGAATTGTAATAGAAAGAACGTTTGGGGTTTGGAAAGTAAGATGGCCGATGATAAAGGATATCCCACCAAACTACAAGTGGTCGACCCAAGTTAAATTTGTTTGTGCAATAATGGCAATTCATAATTTCATCCGACGAAGTGAGTTCTACGATATTGCATTTGACTCTTATGATAGATTCATGGATAATGTGCCTAATGAAGAGAAAGGATCTTCATCTCAACATGCACGCCATGGAAATGATGTTGCATGTGATGATAACGAGATGTAAGTGAGGAGACATAATATTTGTATGTCAATTTGCAGACGAAATTAGGAGTTCTTTAAATATCTAAGAAGTTTTATTTTTATTGCCTTAATAGTAATTTATTGTATTTTTATTGCAATGACATTTTTTTGTTCTCTTGTGAACTCAATATTATTAAAAAAATAAAAATAAAATTGATGTAATATAAAAATGTACTAAGTTAGGTACTAATTAATCAACTTCCATTAATGAAATAACTTTTTCAAAATTTAAAGTGAAGAAAATGACAAAATTACAATTTTTATGTTCATAAGGGAAAAAATGACAATTAGACAGCAAAAAGCTATTTTACAGCTTATTTACCAAACATTACTTTGCTTCTTAAATCTATAATCCCACAACTACACCAAATAAGTTACCAGCTTATGCTTATAGCTGTAATCTATAATCTATAATCACTTTCCCACAGCTCTACCAAACGGGGCCATTGTATATAAATATGCATATGCATATCTGTGTGTAATGTGTACATGTAATGGAAAAATAAATAAATAAATAAAATAAGAAATTGTGATTGTAATGAAATTAAACTCATTGATTGAGGAAATCGGCAAGACAAACAAGCGAGTTCCATACAGGAGAAGAATACATGTTTAGATAATTCTTCAAGTGATTACGAGTATTCCTTGGAACATTTAAGGGATTTGGTTCCACCTATTGAGCATCAATGCACATAATTACAAAAACAATCATTGCAGTTTTCCACAAAGAACTAAACAATCATTAGATTAACTCAGATTAAAGCACCACGATGGGCAAAATTTGTCGACTGACCATGGCGGCGAGATCTGAATCACAGCTGATCGCCTTCAATAGTCGGCGAGATTGTTAGTGGTGAGATCCAATCACTGACGGTTCACGATCTGTTCAGATTGGCAATGACGGAGGTGGTCGTCAGTCGGCAGATCAGAAAAAGATGAAGAGGAGAGTGAAGCGAGACAGACAGACAAACAAACAAACGCTGATGGTGTGTAAATGGGTTATACAATATATTTATTAGATGGGTAGTTTGGACATTTTACATCAGTATGTACTTATGGATAAAATATTTTAGGATGTGAATTTTTGAATAAATAAAATCTAAATTTAGAATTATGGGCCAAGTGCACAAGAAAGTATTAAAACAAACTCTATAATTTCAATAAAAGAAGAAGATTTTCAGAAAAAATAATTATTGTTCCGAGGAAAAAAGATTTGTAAATGTCGGCATGTGGAGAAACAGGTCACTTTGCAAATCAACTTAGAAATAAAAATAATAAAAACATAATAAAAACCTTAGGAAACTTGAATTATGTAGTGTTAGAAGAAGGAAAAGCATTAGAATTGGCTCAATAAAAATAATAAAGAAGCAAGTATAAATATATACATATGGGGAGTATACAAATACAAATTACACCACTGTTTGACAAAGGACATGATATATATATTTATATATATATATATTGTTAGGACCCTACTTATTATCAACTTCGTGAACAAACTTGGGTTTCATTAAGTTGTAATTTTCTTCTATTTTTGGTCTTCCTGCTCAAGCGGGGAACGTGGCGCCCGAGTGGAGTTTCCACCATTGCAGTACTTTGGCTTGTCTGCAAAAAATACTGTGTGGTGTGATTTTACGCTCGAGCGTAAGTTCTTACGCTTGAGTGTGAATCCTGGTTTGGAACACGTGTTTTAGCGTCCCCGCTCGAGCGTCCATTCCTACGCTCGAGCGGACTTCGTGATTTCAGCAGCTATAAAACTGCAAGTTGCTCCAAATCTAGGGTACGTTTTTTAGATCTTCTTTAAGGGTTTTAGGGTTTTCTTTTGGGGCTGTTTTTCTAGTTTTCCTTGAAGGTTGATTGAGTATTAAACTCATGTTTTGATAAGCACACATCAAGGAGTTTGATTGTTCATCTTTAAGAGTGCTCTTCTTCGGTGGAATTCGAAGATTCAAGCGTAGAGGAGTCGAAGGAGTTTGATGTTGTGCGTAGTCGTTGATTCAACAATGGATGTTGTGGATTCAACATCAATTTGATCAATTCCAAGACAGAGGTTGCGGTGAAAGATATACGGACTGTTGAAGACAAATTGACAGCGTTTGGGTAATTTGTTTGGTATATTTGTAATCTTTCTTTCTTCAGTAGTGGATTGATTTGTGGCATTTTGCCCTGTGATTTTTTAATCACAATTGGAGGTGTTCCAATAGTGATTTTTTTCATGTAAAAATTGTTTGTGTCTATTTATTGTTTCTGAAACAACAATCTAAATCACTTTCGTATGTGCTTGATGATTTAGATTGTTAGTTTTAATTGGTTAGGAATTGGCGCAATTAAATCTTGAGGTTTTTCAATTGGTATCAGAGCAGGTTACTCTTTGTTTTTATCAAAACTATAGGAGTGTGATTTTGTGTGATTGGTGATATGGATTCAATTCACGAAGGTAACTCGACCCATAGACCTCTGTTACTTGATGGTACAAACTATTCTTATTGGGAAGCTCGTATGAGAGCGTTTTGAAAATCTATCGATGAGAAAGTTTGGCATTGTGTGATCTATGGGTGGAGTGAACCTGTTGTCACCATTGATGGTGTTGATATTCCCAAACCCCTTGATAAATGGGATGCATTCGACTATCAAAACTCGAGTTGGAACAGTAAGGCTCTCAATTCCCTCTTTTGCTCCATCACACTTGAAGAGTTTTGTCGTATTTGCATGTGTGAGGTAGCAAAAGAGGCATGGGACATTCTTGAAACAATTCATAAGGGTACTACTTCTGTTAAAAGGTCAAACTTCAACGTCTCACATCTTCTTTTGAAACTCTTTTTATGCATGATGATGAGACGTTTGATGATTTTTATGTTGAACTTAGTGACATTGTGAATTCGTGTTTCACACTCGATGAAAAAATCCCTAAAGCTAAGGTTGTTGGAAAAATTTGAGGTCTTTACCTGAGAGGTTCCAATCAAAAGTTATAGTTATTAAGGAGGCTCAGAATGTTGATACCCTCAAGCTTTATCAGTTGGTTGGAAACTTGCAGACTTATGAAGCACACTAGATTTCTAAGAAACAACAAAAAGATAGTGTGGCTTTTTCTAGTGCTCATGAGACTGCTAAGACCCCTGAGATTGAGTTTGATCCAGAGTCTGAAATGACGGCTATGTTTACCAAATAGTTCAAAAAAAATTTAAAGAAGAAAAAGCCTAATTTCAAGGATCCTAGTTCAAAAGATTAGGGGAATGAAAAACTCAAAACTTTTTCACCAAAAATTGCTCCAAAACCTGAAAAGAAGACTGTGGAGGGGCAAGGTGTCAAGTGTTACGAACGTCAAGGGTTTGGACATATTGCCCTTGAATGTCCTTCGAAAAAGAACCAAAAAAAAGTCTATACAGTGACTTGGGATGATGAAAGCAAGTCAGAGCAAGAACCCTAAGAAATCGAATCCGGTGAAGAAGGAGATAGTACTTACATGGCATTCTGGTCTACTGTCACTCAACCTCCTCCAAAGCTAGTGGAATTTTCTCATGGTCATAATCTGCACCGTGCCCTTACCTTTGATGGGAGTAATTACTTGTTCTGGAAGATCAGAATGAGGATGTTTCTGAAAGCTTACGACCCTGACGGTTGGGAAGCCATTGAAGAGGATGTTGAAAGCGCTGACAATCCGAGTAATCAAAGAGTTCTGACTACCATTCATGAAGTAATTTCTGATGAAGAACAACAACGGATTGCTCACTACATAAATGCCAAAGATGCATGGGACATTCTGAGTCAATTTCATGAAAGAAGAGAGTCATCTTCACCGCCATCTATCAATTTTCATGCCTTGGTTACTCGATTGGATGAGGTCCAGGAGAAAGAGGAGCAAAAAGAAGATGATGAGACCTCGGAAGACAATGATGAGATTGATGGTGATGACCTACAACAAGCTTATGAAAAGCTTTACGGTGAATCTCTGAATTTGTCCAAGATCAATGGCAAACTCACTCTCAAGCTCAAAGTATGTGAAAGTGAGAATGTCAAGCTAAAAGGAGAGATTGCAACATCAAAGCAGAATGTCATCAGGATCTCTAATGACAAGCAAGACCTATGTGGAAAACTTCTATCTTGTGAGACCGAAAGGAATGAACTTTTTAAAATATATGCCACATACGAAGAGAAGATTGAAAACCTTGAGATGTCACAAGTTGCATTGGAAGAGATGATTAGTCAAAAAGATGAAGAACTCAGAGATGCTAGAGCCACAATTTCCATATGGAACAAAGGTTCCAAGACATTAGAAGACATCCTCGGGTCTCAACAAATGGGTTGTGACAAAAGTGGGCTAGGCTATGGTAATGTGATAGTTCATAAGGGACAAACCTTTACATCATATGACCTGAAGACTCAAACAAAGGGAAAGCTGAAAGTGCAACAGGGTGATCCCTCTCTTCATCTGCCTAACGGGGGTAAGATCTACAAAATGAAGGTAAACCTATTTTTATTTGTCATCATTGTGGTAGGTATGGCCACATTTGTCCATATAGTTTTGAGCTGTTTGGTGAGGTGTCTCAAAAGGGTAGAAATTCTAATACTTTTTTGGTTGGGTGACAACCTTACATGTCTAGGCGGAACACCAAGATTCATGAGGGTGTTCACAACGCTAAGACATTTACCAAGACTACCGGTCCTGATTTTCTTAAGACTAAAAAGATATGGGTGAGAAAGGGTGACTTGACTTGTTTTGTTGTTCACACTGCTCTAAAAGCAAGTGACTCACACATGTGGAACCTTGATAGTGGGTGCTCTCATCACTTATTAGGTGACAAATCCTACTTCACCTCCCTTGAAAAATATGAAGGAGGAATTGTTACCTTTGGAGATGGTGGCACTTTGAGAGTCATTGGTAAGGGCTCTATAAGTGTGGCTGTCTTTCTAACCTCGAAAATGCATTACTTGTTAATTTCAAGAAAATCTTTTGAGCATCAGTCAAATGTGTGATTCCTACCATGAAGTATTATTTTCAAAAAATAAATGTGAAATTTTAGATAATAAGGGAAATACTGTCATGCATGGGGTTC